AAAAAAAAGCATACGGTCGGAAAAATTGCTACTAATAGTGGTGTCCAAATTTTCCATAGAGAGAGTTCCATAATTATAACTTGTTGGCATCGTAGCTGCACGCATCGTACTTCCTATAACGTAAACATGAAGATCAGCAGCTATATGCGAAAATCTCAACATTCAAACCTCTGCTTTCAGGAATGTGGAAGCAAGGCAACGTATTACCCTGCGATCGCTCTCCACCTTGCCAGGCCACCCAAGGTCGGGGACGATTGAGGTGACGAGAAGGCGCTAAACAAATATAATCATTGTAGTGGTTGATGTTCGCCTGCACGAATACCTGAATGAGAGGACTTACATGCATTGATAGGAACGTCGTAGCGGAAGCGTAAGTGCGGCATCTTTTTCGCTGATGGAGTACGACTTGCATTGCGAGGATCCCAGTGAAGAGGTAACCTAAATGCCTCACCTTAATCGGAGCAAGAGTGGACCATGCTCAAACACTATTCATGCGTTACCTTTGCTTCTTGTGGCTCTCCTCTATATTCTGCTTGATGACATGTGCAATGGACGAATCATCAAACTTTTCTAATTGTTCCACAGTCTAAATTAGAGAGAGTGTGCAAAAGTCATGAAAAAAGCAAATCAAATAATGGTTCAGATGAAGCCTGAAAAAGCTTGCTAGATCGCGATACCTTCTTGAGCTTGTCTTCATCAATCCGCTCGCTTTCAGATAACTCATCATCAGAGATTTCATTCTCGATAGAAGACGTTGACAAACGCCGTTTCAATTCTGTAAAGATATGCTGAACTCAACGAATCTTGACAAAGTCCCAAAACAGCTATTAAGACTCAATTGAGAGGCGAGTTTGACTGATTCGAATTTATCCAACTCATGGATGATGTGTAAGACATTATCAAATTTGTCGGCTTAGACATACATACACTGAACAATATTGAAAATTGTAAAACTTTGCATGAACGTCTCGCTAGATAAATGACATCAGGCAAATGCTGCACATATAATTTCCAAACAATTTCTCGACAGGATGGCGTTAATTTTGAGATGCTCGGGTAATCATTTCATTCTACTTAGTGTTACTTAAAGGCAGTGTCCCAGCACATTCTCGTTTTTCACTTTCCTATTCGGGACCGTTTCGCCATGAGGAACCCATATCTGCGCTTTTTCGCTCATAGAAACGGGGAAAAGAGCTTTTCTTGAAGCTTTCCAGGTTCGCATTCA